ATCTCAGCCTTGAGACGCTGTAACAAATTAGTGAAAAATATAGTCAGACAAAGGGAATAACTTAGTTAGCTCTGAAACAACCCACAAAATAAGCTTCAGTGACCTAGGTTGCATAGACTTGAGACCTTTTCTCTGCACTTAAGGACTGAATTGCTACAAAAAATATGTCCAGTTTCTAAAAAGATTTTAATTATTCTGATTTTCATTAAAGAAGAATACAGTTGTTTAGTAACAATAGAATGAGGGTTGATTATGATCGATTGGTGAGTATAGTTCTAAATACAGTGGCTGATCCAGGGGAGGGGCCCGGGGGGCCCCGCCCCACCCCTTCCCATATTTTTAGACCAAAATGAGGCCCAAAAGGCCGAAAAGGATTTTTTTGAGACTGGGGCCCCCCTCTTATCTGAAGGTCTGGATCTGCCACTGAAATAGGACTGTTGTTGACAGTAACTGATGTTTCAACAACTTGTACAGTGGTCATCTTCAAATTCAAAGTGAGTTGTACAGTATATTGTCAGTTGGTAGTGTTAGACTGTTAATTGACCTGTTAATTAAGTTGCAATATTATTTGCTGTCTGTTAGTTAAGCTACTCGCTGTGAAAACTCCAAAAGTGATTACAAAACTTCTGTTTAAATTAACATTTAAGTTATATGGCTCAATACCTGAATTTCATCCAGCAACTCCGACTTTCTTTTCCTTATTTCTGTGAGGAGTGCCTCTTCTTTTGGGGTCAAACCTAAATCACCAGGATTTAAAAGATAAAAAATTAAATACATTGTAAGCACTAGAATGATTTAAATGATTTTGGTTTATTAAAGTTGCTTTGAAAAATCTTTGAAAAACTTTTAGGGAGGGTGGCATCTTTAGGGGATTAAAGGGATCACGCACACTTTATAAGTTATCAGGTTTTCTCTAGACATATTTTTATCAGGGGTGACAAATAATAAGTCCAAGACTGGCTAAGATATACTGAAACTTTTGTTGAAAAATTTGAGACTTCGCAACAGTGACTCAAGACTGGGATAGACACTTTTTACATCCATTTTGGTTCGTCTTGTTTTCCAAGACCAATGACTTTGTCTCTACCATTTGCTGAACCCTTTTATAAAAAAACGATTAGACCTTATAGATAATGCAGAGGGCAGGGTGTTACATGCATGATCAGGGTATGAGCTTAATGGGCTTAAAGATACCAGAAACTGAAAAAAATCCAATGACAATTTGCATTACAGTCAAACCCTGCTTTATGGACACCCGCTTAATATGCACACCTCATTATTACGGACAGTTTGCTTTGTCCCTGGGCAAAGAAAGTCCTTACATTTTCTCTAAATTCAACCCACTTAATATGAACACCCTGTTAATACGGACACTTTCTATGGCCCTCTCAGTGTGCATATTATTTAAATGCATGTTGGCCATCAGATTAAAGCATAACCCTGACATAAAAAAAACCTCTTTACAATAACCACTAAGGGGAATGAATGAGTAATAACCAGAGGTTACAAAGTGTGGGCGGCAACGATAGAAGGTCAAAACGCTTTTGCTCCATTTTATTTGCGATGCTTTGCATAAATTTCAAGTGACAGTCAAAACACGCGTGATCAGTTTACCAGTGACAGAAGGTCCAAACATGTGTAATCAAATTGTGTTCTGCGCATTCCTTTATTCTTAGCAGAAGTCCAAACGAATGCAGGCTATATAGGGTACATACATGCGATGCATGCATAATAACAACCTGGAGATTAGGATTGTGGGTGACAAGAGGAGCCCACAACAATAAATTAAAGATGCTTCTTCATTCAAGAGCACCTAACACAAAATGACTCCAAACCTCAGTATGATACCCTCCTTGTCATGGGAATGTTAACCACAAAAATCTCTTACACTTACGGTACAGTAATAAATGTCTTCAAAAAAGGAGTGAGTAAATAAACCTCTCAATGTGGTCCAACTGTTAACTCTTTTAAATCTTCTCTGTCAATATCTTTTCACTTTCAATTTTGAAACAGTGTCAACCACAAAATCAATGGGTAAAAAGATTCAGCGGGGAGAAAAAGAGTAAGCCAAAGAAATTTCGAATGTGGGGTATAATCCAAAGTAAGCATCGGTAATAATTATTTATCTTAGATATCAATGACAAGTATTCTCGAATGTATCGATAGCCAATTTTAAACAAGTATCAAATTACAACAAATACTACAATGTTTTCCAGAATTGAAAAGTACATGCCGTACATATAATTTTCTTCCAAACGAATTTCCTTAGCCTATATATAAATAGCTGTTAACTTAATAGCTTCGAGAAACCACATATTTTGTGTGTGAAATTCCACATGAGCGAAGTATAAAGAGGGGTTGGCTATTTTCAGCTAGCGTCTCTAACTATACAATAACTGAGTTTCAACTGCAAATTTGCGGTAAATCTTACCCCCTTTTTTACACTCACACTAGTGTATTTAATAACCACTTTTTAGAAAAACAGTCTCAATATTAAAAAAAGAAAAACGAACGGTAACAACTCCTACTTCCTGCAATCATCGTGAGACAAAAATCGTGCATGCCAGAACATCGAAAATTAATAGGCTCACCGTTCATTTCCTTGGTAGACTCCATTCTTTCTGCAACCATCGCCGTCGACATAGCGTTTTGCCTCCCAAATACAATGACTTATTAAGTTCAGATTCTCTCTCTGGAAGACCAAATTGTAATCTATTCCAAGCACTTGCAAGCGACGAACAACCCCTACCTGGGCGCCATCTTGTTTGTCAATTTTTGCACTGACTTGTTCCCAGGCCACAATGCAGAATTTGGGCGATTTCCTGCATCGCAAGACCCAATAGTCGTTCTGTGTAAAGGACCACCCGCGGCCAACCTGTGGAATGTTGGGGAAAGGATGGGTTTCTCTGTCCCTAGTGAGGGGAAAATTGACGACATTGATTTAACTTCAAAGCAAAGGGGTTGGGGAATTCAAAATTTTGTGATCTTTCTTAACAGTGTTGTTTACGCAGACTGTCATTAAAAGTTCCCTCATTCAAATGAATCCCATCAGGAAGATATCAGGTGAAGTTTTCATTGAGAAGAACTTGGGAAGGGGACTTTGTCTTGTCAAATTCCCCTACTCCCCGGAGAAATTGTAAACTTTACTCTGCCCATTTCATGGTAATCCCCCTAGTTGGCCCGTGGTCCTATCGCTAGGGGAAGTCAATGACTTGTGCATAACATAAGTCTGTCATACAACTCTTCGCCCCACTCACCAAAACATTTGTTTCCATTCAAAAATAAGTGTATGAAAAAATTACTGTAAGGAGGTAGGCGGAAACATAGCCCCCCCCCCCCTTTTATGTTGGCGGGAGTAGGCTCTCGCTGGGGGCGGAGGGGAGGACTTTCCGTGTCTGCCTTTGGTGTTTTGAGTTTTTATACAAATCAAAATGGCATAGTCTTGTGTTGCCCAGCTGAGTACTGAAGATCATGTAAATGTACTGCTGCATTTGGCTGTGAAACTTTGATACATTTAAGACATCTAGTCCAAACAAAGGACTGTCATGACATGCTGCTCTCTAGCAACACCAAAATCACCACATTGTTTAGCAACAGTTGCACTCACTTACTGTGCAGCTACAGTTTAGAGTCCCTAATTTAACAGGGGTGTAGCTACCTGTACGCACGGTACACACGTGCATACCAGAAAAATGTGATGGTAAAAAATGTAATGATAAATTAATTAATAAAAAGATAATGATAATAATTAAAAACATTCAAATAGAGCACAATAATAATTACTTTAAAAAGCAAAGTCTACTTGTTTCTTTAAATGATGTTTTTCCAAAACAACAAGCTTTTTTCATTCCCAAAAGTCAGTTTTTACCAAAGTGAAAAAATTGGTAAAATAGCGCACAGATGATCAAGCTGAAGGTATGATACCTTGGCCACACCCTAAAGACCTGGAAAAGACTTGGGATTTGGGACCTTAAGGAAGAGGGAGGGGTTACAGGGATTGTAAAATATTGTTTGTACCTCCAGAAAAATCCTGCCTATACCCTGGGGAACCAAAAAAGGCCAAGTGTCTAAATGCACTTGAAGAGGGTGAATTCCTTTAGGATGTGTTAAAATCATTTGTGCAGATTCACCAAAATATTGCTCACTTTCTTGCAAGGTATAATGACATATAACTTAATCCTCTCTGGCCAACTCTGAAATTAGCTTCAAGGTATCTGGATATTAAATGAAACTTTCAAAGTGCCATTATCTCGTAAGAGCCCTCCTTCCAACAAGTACCCTTCCTTTTAGACAAATTTTTAAATAACCACGCTTAATAGAGGAAATGCAGACTGTATTAGTCTTGTGATTGATCTTCAGGCATCAAGTAAAACGTTTAAATGTTCAACTTGTATTTTTTATTATAAACTCTGTGATTAACAGCTGGGCTGGTCACAATAACATTCAAAAAGGACAACAAAAGACTTTTATAAACACAACTCTGCAAAATACAAATCATCTATTGTTATCAATCAACTTAGTTTCTCTCTCCAACCCAGAAACCAATACCATTATTTACTTATTTACACTTATTAACATGATTTGAAATGCATAACATAATAAATAGCACCTTTTTCTCTGTCTCATATTTACTCACACTTTACCGTTAGTTCTCTTTTTTTTTTATGAAACTTACAAAATTAATACCAACAATAATATTTAAATCCAAAGCCATCTTTCCAAGTTCTCCATAAGAAAAAATGCCAAGACTTCAGTCATTTTACTTTTTAAGCCTTTAGGATAACCATGACTTTGAGAATGTTCAAATAGCTATAACATTTAAAGTGTTGTACTAGTTTCTAATTTCAACAAGATATTCACCAAACAGAAAGAATAATAGCAACGGCCATTTAGAAGCAGTTATGTCATTCTATGGTCTTTGATAAGCTCTCTGAAGCCCAGTGTTGGGTTTTTTAAAAAAAAAAGTGACTTAAAACAGTGTCTAATTAATGCATCTGTGGTCAGCTCCTTTTTGATGGTAAATGAACCTTCACCACCCAGTCTAGTTCATTACAAAGATGTCGCCTCACCCCTGGGGGGATGGGCAGACTCTCCACTGCTTTAAGATTTGGAAGGCATTTACCAATGGTGGCACAACAAAGATATTGTAGGGAAAAAGACATGGAAGAACTGCGTTGCAGCTTCATCTTTGTTCTTGCCGCAGTTGAAGAAACAACAGGAAATAGGGTTTTGCCAGTAAGGTTTGAAGCAGCTACTCCTAGTGGCTCATTGTCTTTAAAGAAAGATAACTTGCCATGCCAGGCATCCAAATGGATACCAATTACTGAATCATGGTCAAATCTTGAAGTATAGTTATGGGATTTTCCTTTATGATGAAAATTTCCAATGTAGGATAACCCCCAACTGTTACTGTCCTTGCCAATAAGGCTACAAAAGGAGGTTTTATACTGAGTGATGTCCATGTCTCTTGTGCATACTCCCAACATCTGGTTAAAATGCATAAAAAAATTAATGAATTAACTATATTCACATACAGATCCATGTAAATGCAGTCACCTAGTTGTATGGTATGTCATTTATGTCCAAATTCTGTATCAGTCAAAAGATACAAATCTTAATTCCCAGCAAAAAACAACAGAAATCACTACCATGATGGATATTTGGATACGAAACGTTGACTAATGAGAAAACAACTCTTCATATTATTTACTACTTTTTTGAAAGTCTCTGTGGAGCTAAATATCTCTAAAAAAACGTATACTAAGCAATAGCCTGGCTTCCCCTGGATTACAAAAAGGAGATGTCTTAATAAGTGCAGAATCTTATGAAGAAATAAAGGATACAATGTCTAGTTCCTCTGTCAACTGTAAGTCTGTACAGCGCAAAGAGCATCACTGTTTGAAGAATGTAGCTTGTCGAGAGCGAATGTCATTATTGCAAGCATTCTGTGTTAGGTGCATCAAGTTTGTCAACGTCAACAGGGTAGGTCAGTCTGTACGGTACAACACATTTGTCACTGTCCTGATTACTGTGGAGTTGTCCAACAAAGAAAGTCACTTTATCAGGGTAATAATGGAGTTGCAGGGTGAAAGCAAGAGCCCACCAAACAAACGGTGCCAGCTAGTTGTCTTGATTGTAGCAGGTCTTGTAAGAGTCACTTTGGTAAATAATAACCAGATCCAGAACTGACTACCATGTCCGTTTAATCTGTCTGTTTCTGTCTCTGTCAGATGGTTTTAAAACAATCTGTCACAGGTCACCTACCATGTCTGTACCATAGACAGCACTGGTCATCTTAATCTCCCAATAGTATTCTCCCCCTGGTGTAAGGGGCTGCGAGCCTTTAGCTGCCGCAGTTCCACAGCTGTAATCTGGGTGAAAGAGCACCTCTTTATTGCCTCTTGTGAGGCATACTGATGACGAAAGTGTTTCAGGGTCCCATTTCCATTCACAATCTGCAAAATAATGTAGCACAAAGGGAAATTAAGCTTTATTCTACAGGCACAACAGCCAGTTCTATCAACTAAACGGCTGTATGGAATAAGCTCGAACTTATTAATGTCAATTCCTTAAACACATCTTTGCAAACAAACAGGACAGCATCCAAACTATTCTCTTAAGTCAATACTACAATAAGTCAACGTCAGTATAAGTAATAAGTTTAATTTAAATAATTTTTTTTTAAGCGGCTACAATTTCCTAAACCTTTTCATGCTTGTGAAACAAGTAACAAACTCTACAGTATTTAGCATTTCTATGGCAATAGTTTGATTACAATTTCAAGTTGAAAAGTACTAGGATAATAATATGAAGGCACAACACATAACAGTAAAGAGCAATATATAAGAGATTAATTTTACATAATCAATAAGCATAATTTACATTTTCATACAATTTGTTTTTAACTTGTTATCATGCGTCAACATATCAAAAACCAAACTGGAACAAAAGAACTTAACGAACAAAATTATTAAATTTGAGCATCTCATACCATACAAGTTATACCTAAGTTTGAGGCCTATCTTCCTTTTTTATCAAGACTTGTAAAAGTCTCAACTGGAGAAGGAAGAACAACCACTTATCTTAGTTGCCGCTGTATGGACTGTGTGTATCAACAGGTTGCCAAAACAAATAATGGAAATATCAATTTTACTCTTCAAAAAAATTCTGGCAGAATTAAGTTGGTTGGCTAGTCCAATTTAATTATTTTGCCAAATAGCTGCAGCCAATACAATGGCAAATGAAGCTAAAGGATTCTATGAATGTGTAAAATGACAGAAACACAGAAAACTTACAAGACAGTACCCAGGAACACTGCACAAACAATATGAATGAACACAACCACAACACTGACATTTAACAACAAAGTCAGTTCAGGATTGTATGCACTTTACCTCAATACCTCAAAAACACTTCCTTTTTCATCAAGACTTGCGCGAACTGTACCTCTTCCTTCAAGTTGGTAATCAAGGCCAACAAGTGCGTTTAACTGTACATCTCCCATGTGCAGCTGAAATATAATAATATGCCAGGCCTTAACTTTGATTTTTCTGTTATCAACACAGTGCCTTAACAGTCTTTATCCTAGGGGTGGCGAGCTGGTTTTGGATCATTTGCCCATTAGGTTATTTCTTTTCTCCCTCAGTTCTATTGAAAAAAGGTAAAACTGTAAAGTCTTGACCACGCAAGCTTATTTAAACATCAAATTTAAGAAATTCCTTCATTCCATCAAAAATTTTTCCCTTCTCCTGGTGTCAATGCTAAATAACGTTAAATATATGAAAGTGTGGTTAAATTTGAGGGTTTTTTTTACAAAGCCATGAAACAAGCAGATCTGTGGTAAAAAAAGAATAGTCTCCAGGAATACCTTCAGACAGATGTCCTCGATAATACAGGCCCAGTAAGGGTAAAATCCCTACAGGTGACATGGCCTTGAAGCAGCAACATTGACAAATTACACCGTGAGCTTAAGCAACGAGAACGCTGACATTCCAGACATTATGAATAGCAACCGGAAGTTCGATGTCTCGCTTGATGGAACACTTTTATCTCACACAACGAATTTAACAGTCTTTGTTTTAACTCCCAATGTACGAATTTGTCGAGTCAACACTAAAAGAGAGAAAATATCAACTTCCGGTTGCCATTTTTGACATCCAGGATGTCAATGTTCTTGTTGCTTAAGCAGGGTGCAAAGAAAGTCAGTTTTACAGCCTGCAATTCGGGCAAGCTGTAGCTAGCACATACTAGCCCATAAGTCATTTCAATTAGCTCCAAAACCCTTTTTGATTAGCAGGATTGTTTACAATCCATTTGAATTGCCCCAAAAATGGCACTTGCCCGTTGAGTGTTAAGAACCAAATTCACTAGCCAAAAAACAAAATCCACTAGCCCCGGGTTATCGAAACAAACACAACAGTAATATACTGACAGGAACATGGCTTTCTCCTCGGAATGCCAAATGACTGGTTTTTAAATTCAGACTGGGAACATTTATTTTGTACCCCTCTGAGAGGGCGAGGACATTTTATAATAATATTGAAAACAAGCAATAAAATATAGCCATTTCAAATATCTCAAATCTTCACATTTTTGTTGAGTGGCTGTTTTCAAGCTAGTGCCGGTAGATTACACATCAGTAAAACACTCCAAGCGTACCAATAAAAAATTATTTTCTTGGATCAAAAATATGTCAAAAATTTAAAATTCAGCTGAACCAAGCCGCAAAGAAATTCAAAATTTCGGCTTTCTGAGCGACTCAATGCGAAGACCATTAATATTGACATATCTATAAATTTGTATTAAAGGATTATGTGTTATGATTGTCAGAGCGGATTACGCATATCGACAGAAGCCGGTAAAAATCCACTTCTAATAACAAGCTGGTCGTCACGAACCTCGCCCAAAGAGTTTTCAGTGCACGCACCGAAGAAAACGAAATTTTACGTTTTTTGGCACGAAACTGGAAAGCATATATTGCCACAAGACGATCACGTGAAGGAATAAAATGTGGTAATTGAACAATATCATTTCCAAAGCTGCAGCACGAACGACAAGAGAAAACATGCACAATTCAGCGTTTTCATGCCGACCGGACAGGAAACTGCATGGAAAACTGTTTTCTTCTTTTTACACAAGGGAAAATTTACTACGAAAATACGAAAAAACCTTTAAAAAAACTCTTGCTTTAAAAGAATTTTACGGGCTTTTCTAATTCTATATTGAAACGATCTTTGAGGGAAGCAGCTGTTTTTTTTTTTTACATATATAGCCTTTTAGCTTGCATATGCAAATCTTGTCGTTTCGTGTTTGTGACGGTACAAAGTTCGTTTTCCTCGAGAAGAGCGCTGTATAAAGCTCAATTAAAATACACTCAATCATTTGTGCTTCAACTGAGAGGCCAAAATAATGTACGTACACACACAAAAAAGATTTGGATAGTGAAGAATGAAACGGACAAAAACGCCACGTTCGGCATATTTAATTTTCATTACCCCATGTTTGCTTTCATGCCATGCATGCAAAGATCCACGTTCTACTTTTCGATCCAAAACCTCCGCGACCAGCTTTTGGTTGTTATAAAACTATCCATGAACACAACTAAGAAATCATACCTTTATGATGTTCGTCCATTTCATGGTCCGATCCTGAATCACTGACGCATTCTTCAACCTCCATGGGCTCGTCTTCGGTTTCCCGGTCTGGGTAGCCGAAAATGCGCGCCAGAAGTTCGCGCTGCGAAAGTCGCGAGTTTTCCAACGGATGCGCGTAATAACTTGTGTGGACTAAGGCCATAAATGAGTTCCCAACCGGTTAAGCCTTTAAGAAAAAGCTTTTCCAATTTCGCGTGAAAATATAAAAAAACAACCTTCTTCTTCGTTAGCTTTGCTCAAACTGAGTTTTCTTGTTTACGTCAAAAATTAATACTCTTACTTGGTTACCTGCTGTCCTTCCCCTGTTATCGCGGGCTCGCTGGGGCACTTTATTCACACAACATTTTTAAAAATCGTTTCTCATGACAAATGATTATATATTCATGAAGAATTGAAAATTCAAAGTTACACAGAAAAAAGGGATAAATTTCTAGTTATAAATTTCAAATGAAGTGTAAAGAATTTTATCTAAAAAGGAAAACGTGAGGCACGATGAAGTAGAAGACGTACGATATTGCGTCAGCATCCGGGTGCAGTGAAGCGAAGCAAGCGAGAGTGCACGGATACGCGAACTTTTGGTGAACTCTTTCGTAAGAGGAAGTTTTTGGAAGCCTCAGCAAAAATACATAAATTATTGGACGATTTCGTAATCTGATTGAATATTTAAGAGTTGTAATCCCAGGGCATAAGTTTATAAACTTTCCGAGAGCTACAAAATGAGTTCGGGCAGGGCTACCCGCCGTAGACAAAGGTCTGGATCACAAAAAAACAGAAAAGTAGTATTGATTGCAGAAAACAAGTGTCCTTTAATAAGGTGAAGAAGATCAAAACCAAAAAACCTTAATAAGCAGCTCCACGCCGACGGCTTTGCACAGAAAATGGGGAATGCTTTATGGTATTTTTTACTTATAATTTCTTTATCAAAAGAAACATAGTAAAAAATAAATTCCTGGTTTTACAGATATTTATTGAACAGATGCACAAATTCACCGTGATCAAGTCCTGATCATTTTGTTTTAACACACCCTCTACACACCCTGGTCACGCCCCCAAACTTGTAATCATGCATTGTCTCATGTGTATAAAACTAGATTGACCGCTTTCCGTTGGTCTCCCTAGCAGCCGTTTTCTAGTGTCCCCACGCAACGCTCCTTGCGTATCTCTCTGGTGGTCCTCGTTGCATTTCTGTACAGTGCAGAAGTTACAGAGCCATTACAGATTTCCTTGCTGGAATTTAAAATTGTTCATCACTGTTGGAAACACCAGTGAAAACATGTGAAAACGTTTGTCGGCGTCATGTGGCACTGCCACGACCGCTCAGGAGTATCGGTGCGTAATATGATTCAAGGAAGGGGGGGGGGGGGGGATCGTAAGGGAAGATTGGGTGGGGCAGTGCTGCCAAGGACTAACCACACTTGTACACCACCAAAGTTGACGCCCCGTTCACGGCTTCTGGTCTAGAAAGACACCCTGTTCAAGACGCCAAACAGGGAAATAGCATATAGAACCGACCCAGTTTAAGATTAGACTCGGAACCCCTAATACCAGACTCGATCTCTGCGGCACATACCCTTTGAGGCCAAATAAGTGAATACCCCGGGGTTGCTACTGCCGCAGTCACGTATCTTTGTTTTGATGTTTTGATCTAGTATTTACGTCTTCGCAGTGTTTACAAAAAATCAAGCCTTTCCGGTTTTGCGGGCTTATATTTAGCCAATCAAATACGCTTATTGCCGGTCACGAGATCTCATCCGGTTCAAAATATTTATGTCGCTCAAAACAAGTGAGGGAGATAAATGTGCTTCAAAACACGCATTTTGGATAGTTTAAGTCGTGGTTTAAAGGCTCTCAAAAAACTTGAACCTAGATTCTTTCAGCGAATTAACAGTTAGCGTAAGCTTGGAGAGATATCCTTCTCGTGACTCGATATATAGCAAAAGTGCAAAACCTGTTCGATTTTTACGATAGGAAGCTATTGCGTACAAGCAAACTAACTGTAGGTTGTGGAAAGTCCGACATCAGAGTGAAGTTTTTATCCCCGGAATACAAAATGGGTAAGCAATGCAGGTTACTTTTACATCTTTCACTTTGCAATGTCATTCTCACTCTGCCCTTTGCATCGAAACATGTCAACCATATTGCTTTGTTTGCGTTTGTGCGTTTTATATTTATATCTGAATTTTAAAGTCCTTGTATTACTTAATCTGGAAAAAAACACTGTAATAATTTCGGTGCAATTCTTCACCTTAACATACTTAATATGAAATAAGTTCGGCGTTCAGGGGAATAAAGGAGACCGTAAGGAAAAGCTATACTTCCAACCATTCGAGATTTAAAGAAAAAACATACTCTAATGCACATATTACCGTCATTGTCTTTTGTACAGCTCGTTCTAAACAGCGGTCAGTATTTTTAAAGCTTGAACGAACAACAATAACTCTTTTCTTTGTTATTAACACAATTTGTACTGAGCTTCAAATCGTGGCCGTGGTCAAAGATTTCGAACTTATCAAAGGTTCGCAGCGATTTGTCTAAGAGTTCCAGGTTGATGATCCTATTGAAGGTGAACTAATGAATCTCAGAGTTTCTGCGAGCTGTCAAAGTTTGATTATAGATTTAGCTCACAGTTGTTGCATCCCTTCCGAGGGAGAAAACGTCAATCTTATTAATAAGTTAATGGCGAAAAGAAGGATCCTATTCAATTCCTAACTGTCTACCCTCCCTTAAGTAATCTAACACATACATAGATATACCTGGTTGATTTTTTTATCACTGTTAGCCTAGTTATTACTTATGGAATTCACTAGCTGTTAGTTAAGAAATTAAACTTAAGGCCTGGCATATTATTATATTTCAGCTGCACACGGGAGATGTACAGTTAAACGCACTTGTTGGTCTTCTAATGGTTGAACTTCCTTCTCCATGTCAAGGCGCAAGTCTTGATGAAAAAGGAAGTGTTTTTGAGGTATTGAGGTAAAGTGCATACAATCCTGAACTGACTTTGTTGTTAAATGTCAGTGTTGTGGTTGTACTTAAGTGGTCTGACAGAGCTGCAGGCAGATCAATACCCTGTACTAACTGAGTTCAGGGTCCATGTTGTAAGTAATGAGGACCAAGTTTTTTGCCCAGATTTATGGCCCAAGTACAAGGTAAAAAGCCATAAATCCGAGCACAAATAACAAGGTTCCCTAACTTACAGTAGGGACCAAGAAAACAAGGTTGGCAAGATATTCATCATATTTGTGGGTTGAGAGGTGAAGATTTCAATGCAAACAGAACAGCCATTGATGAATTACTTGCAGAAAATCCTTTTCAAAGGGAAATTTTATTAGCTTGTAAAATCATCAGTCTTAGAGGCCAAATCAAAAAATACCTTTTAAAAACTAGAAGAAGCTAACAGTTTTTGTAAAGTTTCTGCCATGAATCAGCGCACAACAAATTTTGAATTTAGCAGCCTGTCGAGTGAAATACAGCCTACCATAACTTTAACATTTACGACAATTATTACTTGTCTTGTGGAACAATGCAACTGTGAGCTTGAGTCAATCAACAGAATGGCTGATTGGAATATTGTTTACATTTTATTACAGGAATTCTTTCCAACCAACAAAGTACAAACCCAGCCTCCTTCCACTCTTGGTCTGATACATACCATGAACCGTGGGTGTGGAGCAGTGAAGACAAGTCACCATCAGTGTACCTTTGCCTAAATAACAAAGTCGCATGCTTTTACATTGATCCAGTGATTGAGAGCACAGGAACAGCTGGTGTCCGTGGTACTAAAGCTTTCACACATGGGCAACATTACTGGGAAGTCAAGTTAAGCTCTGTCTTTGGCACATCAATCATGATTGGTGTGGGGACAAAGGAAGCTGTGCTTCAAACTAATGACTACGAATTTGTGGATTTGATTGGAAGGGATGATCAAAGTTGGGGATTATCTTATAAAGGAAAGGTTTGGCACAATGGCCAGGCCCGACGATACTGTGAACCCTTTTACGATTCTACCGTCATTGGCGTATTACTTGATATGGATGCTGGCATCCTGTCATACTTTATGAATGGAAGACCATTAGGAGTTGCATTTACTGGACTGTGTGACAAAGCATGTGAGCTATACCCAATAATTTCGTCTACGTCAACTCTTTCTGAGATAGAGCTTTGTGACAGTACTTGTAGGTATGTGTNGCTAAGCTCTGTCTTTGGCACATCAATCATGATTGGTGTGGGGACAAAGGAAGCTGTGCTTCAAACTAATGACTACGAATTTGTGGATTTGATTGGAAGGGATGATCAAAGTTGGGGATTATCTTATAAAGGAAAGGTTTGGCACAATGGCCAGGCCCGACGATACTGTGAACCCTTTTACGATTCTACCGTCATCGGCGTATTACTTGATATGGATGCTGGCATTCTGTCATACTTTATGAATGGAAGACCATTAGGAGTTGCCTTTACTGGACTGTGTGACAAAGCATGTGAGCTATACCCAATAATTTCATCTACGTCAACTCTTTCTGAGATAGAGCTCTGTGACAGTACTTGTAGGTATGTGTCGTTGCAAGATCAATGTCGAATGACAATATCCAAACTTGTTAAGAAGGACAAAATAGACTTTCTTCCCCTTCCTAGAGGTATATGTCAGTCTCTAAAAGGGATTTAGTTAGTCCATGTGTTATTTCTGAATGTATTATCTGCTGTACATAAATTTGTAAATGATTTGTACATAAACATTTTAATAAGCATTAGCATAGTGGTTTATATGATGCTGACATTTCACATTAGTTTGTTGTCACTAAACAAGTCGAACATTCTATGTGTTTGAGTTTTCATTATGTGTTAAAAAATTCATGCAGCTAGTGAAGAAGAAAAACACAACTGGTCACATTTTTTGAGGCTTGAGTTATTTTCTATTTTTGTTTCAAGGGAATTTCGTATGTTTGTTTGAAAAGTTCAAAATCTGGGATAACCAGCCAGCACCAGTTGTTCAAAAGGTGGATAGTGCTATCCACCTGATAATTCACTATCCACTGGTTAATGCAATAATAATATATTTATTGGTTTCCTTAATATTTATCTACTGGATAGTGATTTATCTGGTGGTTAGCGCTATTCATTTTTTGAGCGACTGGGGCCAGATAATAATTAAATCTTCCCTATTTGTCTTTGGTACTTTTTGGATGTGTTACCTTTGTTTTTCAAATGTGTTAATGTGTTTTCAGTAGGTAGTTAATTATTCATTAGAGTCAAAGTTGTTGAGTTTGTACTGTATAAGATTAGCATGGTACTACTTTGTTACTTAGTAAATACAACCATATCATATTTAAGTGGAAAAAGACTAAAATAGCTACCGGTAGTAATTTTGTAAATAATTATTTGATCTCACACAATTGCAATGAAAACTGTATAATACAAAAGGAAAAGAAATATTTGAATAAAAAGATCCTGTTTTCCTGAATTCTTGTGTTTAAAGCCCTTTCTGTTAAGTCCCAAGAGTGACCAATATCATTTTTCTCCTAAAAATATCTATTTGTCATAAAGAGAAAACATTATGAGAATGATCACCAATGGAAAATGCTTTGATCTTTTATCAAATTATCTCCACTAATTCCTTGAGGAGTTACGTATGGAGATTTGTGTTGGATTTTGGGGCTTAGAGGGTTAATGCTGATAACTGAAAGGGTATTATGCACTGTTTCCCCCTTGGGCTAAATATTACATCCACACGAGTTCTTTGATATCAATGTTGACTACACTATGTTTCTAAAACAGGACAGCAAGCCATACGTGTTTAAGAGAGGGAAAATAAAATTGAACATTGTATCCCATTAACCTCTTAGTCCCAATAGAGACCAAGATCAATTTTCTCCTAACAATATCCATACATTGTCAACAGATAAGTTATGAGAATTAATAAAATGATCATCCAAGTAAAAATGCCTTGATCTTTTATCAAATTCTCTCAACTCATTCTTTAAGGAAATGTAAGGAAAACAGTTTGGAGAATTTGTATGTGGATACTGGGGCTTAAGGGGTTAAGATAGCATAGAGATCCTAAAATATTTAGGAGGCTACGTCAGAGGGGTGATTATTATTCATTTTGCTGTTTTCAGTCAATTCTGTGCTAATGTTATAAATAATATTAGTGCCTTTAACCATACAAAAAAAAAAATCCTGTAGAGTTATGAAGAGGATATCAAACAGATTTCACTGTGGAGCACTAACAACAATTTATTGGTGATTTTTGCAGTTTCAAATTATCAAAATCCATTTTTGCCATCTGTGGCAAAAAATGATAGGAAATGGTTTCAGTGCCTAAGATTGTGTAAAGTAACAAACCTGGATCATTATTTTTTGAATTCAGTTGATGTGTAGAAAAAAAGATAGCAAGAGGTAGCAAAATAATAGCATGACAAAGTCCCTTTAAATAGAGTACTAAAGTGATGATGTCATAAAAATGAAATTTCTGAAATTATGGGATTTGTCAGGATATTCTGAAAGAACAAAATGTCCAACAGGCCTACTTGCCAAAAATGAGCATTTGGGGGCAAATTGTCTCTGAGATCGTAGCCCAGTTATACTCAGAAAACTCCATACAAACCCTTCTAATTTTTTTTTTGGGTCGACCCAAAAAAAATTTAGAAGGGTTTGTATGGAGTTTTGTAAGCATAACTGGGCTACGATCTCAGAGACAATTTGTCCCCAAATGCTCATTTTTGGCAAGTAGGCCTCTTGGACATTGTTCTTTCAGAATATCCTGACAAATCCCATAAATTCAGAAATTTCATTTTTATGACGTCACACTTTAGTACTCTATATTTAGGATCTCTTTCGTCCTTTGATGGGATACGATTTTCTGTGCTTTTTTGTATGCAACACTATTTCTGAGAAACATAAGAGACTACACAGTCTCACAAATAGTCACCTCTAAATGCTTTCTAAATTTTGCCAAATTATTTGAAAAATCCAAAACATACAAGTCAACATAAGACTGATGATTTTATTTGTTCCAACAGAACATAACAATAATATTGATGATTATATGAATGTGAACTAACCTGCATCCAGACGTAATTCCAGCTGGGGCTTCTTTTCACCAAAGTTACTGTCAAACACAGACACAGTACAGCTGGAAACACATCTACATTTGCAGGTTTTGCTACAAAATAAACAACTGCTAATATTTTTGAACAATAAATGTTTTAGTGAGTGGCATCAAAGCAAGATGCAGCACAAATCTGATTGTGCTACAGTACTTGGTGCTTGTCTGACAGCTTCTGACACTTTCTGGGCATCTCTACTTGCAGACGTCACCTCTCTTATTAGGTCCGGATCATTGAATCCTGAATAAACAAAAAAGAGACAGGATTATTATTTCATGTCTGTAGCAATAGTCTTGTTTTGTTTCTTTTTATCATTTCTTAGACCAAAATTGAAAAAAATAATCTTAACTATATTAGTGAAATTTATATATCAAAATTATCTTTAAAATAATCATAATTTAATAAAGGATATATAATTTACTTGGCCACGAGAGAGGAAATTTCATATCTCTGAGCCGTCCTGCTTTATTTAATATATCAACACCAATGAAATACCAAGAAACCATTTCACTTAAGTATGTTTTGCTGCAAAAGGCCTGATTTATTATGTAACAACAGCAAAAAGGTGATCTCACCTGTGAAGATATCTTTTCAAGCAGTGTTTCATTATATAATAACAATGAAATAAAAAAATATTTTAAGAGGAGGCCTCCAATCACCTAACAGTGGTTTTCAGGAGGATCCTCTCGACTAAAGGTCAAAACACATTAAAGTATAACTAAACTAAAGCTAAAGAATAATAATACAACTGAGGTTTAAGTTAAAAATACTAAGGTTAATTATTTTATAAAAACTCTTTAATTATAGTGTTTGAAAATCTTTGAAAATCATTTAAAACTAAGATAAAAATACTTAACTACAGTTCAAAATGGTTCAATAAAAACTGTTTCAGTTTGCATTTAAAAATCGTTTTTGACGTCAGTCTCTTGAGTTCGCTTGGCAGTAAGGCCCAATTGTTAAGTGCTTTATAATATGTTTTGCTCATGCCCCATTCTGTTCTCGGCCTACTGACTTTGGGCATGTAACCATTTCAAATTTTACAACTATGCTGTGGGCTCATTGTAGAATTGAACACATCACAAACTGTGAAAAGTGGGTTCGTTGTGAACAAACATTAAAATAATTGAAGTGATGAATACATGAATTATATATATTGGAACTAAGGAAACTCTAACCTGCTTCTCTCCTTTCTTTTTCCAGCAATTTGTCTTCCTCCACATACCTGACAAAATGAAACAAGTACTTTAAGGTGGCTGAAGCCTATTTATAATGATATGCATGTTGGTTATGTTTTTTAATTTTGTTTTTCAGCAGGAAGGATTTAACCGATTTCTATGATTTTTTGCATCCTTAATAAAGAATGCTGGAACTTTAAGAATGTCATTTATTTCTCGTAGGAATAAAAATGTTTGAGATATCGGCATATATTTAAAACCGCATTTTTCCAAAAAAAGTAAATAAATTTGAAATCCTACAACGGATTTTCCTCTAACTTCAGCAAAGAAAGCCTTAGGACTCTCTAGTAGGTTTGAAGTCAATCATGACCATGCAACTTGCCGCATGTAAAAATGCCAACATCTCAAAATTTTTTATTCCTACAAGAAAATAAATAACATTTTCTTAAAGTTCCACCATTCTTTATTAAGGATGCCCAAAACCATAGAAATTGGTTAAACCTTTCCTGCTGAAAAACCAGATTCAAAAACAAAAGCAGCTGGTCACAACTTGGAGATTTGCGAGGATTTGCGAGACATGTATTTTTAGTAAATTATATATAATAATTTGTCCGCCGTGCTTCAGAAACAAAAGATGATAAAAACATCTGCTCTTGTAGGCTTTAACATAAACTGCACCATCTAAAAGTACAAACGACATTTCTAAAAAAAATTGTTTTTAACACCTTGATCATGGTCTTACACAATGAATCTACCAGTATTTTTAACCTTTTCTTGGTATCCTCCACATCAGATATGAGTTGCTCTCTTTTTTCAACCACCTCAAGCATTTCTTGTAATAACTCTTTCTCTTTAGACTTGTCATACTCTGTCTTAGTGTTTTCTGTTAAAACAAAATGGAACACTATAAACTCTCTATCAAATTCTGACAAGGTACTTAATATAGTACTGTAGAGCTTCATATTAGTTTAGTTAATAGTTACAGGGAAGAGAGGGGTCACATTTAGCTGAAGACAGGTCAAGAAATCAATTTTAGCTGAATTTCCTATGCAATTCCACCATTAACCAATCTCCTCATTAACCCATAAACCCTAACCGCCTGTGTGTGGGTACACATCCATTGTACCAATTGTAACATCATCAGTTTTGACAGTCATAGACAACTTTGTCATCTTCGTGTAACTTGTTCCAAGGGAAGAGATCTTTCAAACCATACCTGAATGAGCATGATTCAGTAAAACAGACCAGACAAAAATGCAAAAACTTATTTGACCCAAACATTTCAATAAAAATCCTGATCCACCACCCACCTCACTGCACTTAACTTCACTCCACTTAATCCTACTTTTCCGAAAGTTTTCCCAAAAGCTTTTGCTCAACAGAAAGCTATCAAAAAATGGTGCAACTAGCCTCACCCTGACTCGGCAGGCACTTTTCAGCAAAATTTCCAGGAGCAAATGGGTTAAGCAAAATACGCAACTTGCACTTTCTCCAATAAGGCACCTTATTTGCCCCCTAAAATTTTGCAGAAGCATTGTTTTCAATTTCTCTTAGGACAGCTGTAATACCCAGGAAAAATGAAAAACGAAGGTTATGCAAAATTTTGGGGGACAAATAAGGTGCATTATGGGAGATGTTCACGTGGCAAAAATGTTACAGGTCAAAATTATATTCAGGGTAAAATTTTTTAACCTAGGTTGATTCTTTATTTTCTTTTGTCTCGATCCTAGCCCTTATTCACGAATAATTAGGGCTAGGAAACAAAGGAAAATGAGAATTAACCTAGGTTAAAAAATTTTAACCTGAATTTTATTTTGAACTGTAACATATATATAAAAACTTTACAAAACAAAGCAGACCTATACCTTATTGAAATAACAGCCCTTCAAGTGAGATTTTAACCCCAATGCAATTGCCACCAACAGCAGTAGAATTACCTTCAAAATAATTTTTTAACTACTAGCTCTTTTATTTGTGGTAATGCTTTTAAAAAGGGTGGCCATGACCAAACTTACAGTTAATTTTGTTTAGTGAAAAAGTACTAGCCTAACTTACCATCCTTCTCTGTCAATTCTCTCAGTTTTTTCTCCAGCTCAGAATACTTCTCTGCAAGTTCTAATTCCCTTACCCTGGCAAAGAGAAAATCTGTTAGAGATTGATTCCTTAAGATGGGTCTAATATTATTTTAACCTTGTCTAAGTTTTTCCTCCTATGTTTGGTCAAAGGGTAGTGGATCATATCAACTAAAACAAAAACTATTGACCTAAAAACATACACACTATGTACATGGTAAATAACCATGTTGTTGAAGGTCACAAAAATTATATTTGCCACCTTCTTGTGCAACTATAACTACTAACAATATTAATAATAAGTGTTAGGAGGTAGGGACAATATTATTTAAAACTGCCACCTAAATTTCTCACCTTTTTGCTGTTGCGTTGATAGTTTTGTTAGGGTTCTTTTGTTTTATGTAAAACATCTACAACACTAAGAAACTGTGGTGCCTACTAACAGTAAACAGCATAAACAGGCTTTTTGAGAGCTGCTTATGTTTTAAATGATATAATCTTAATTTTGACGTTTTGTTTCAGAAAATATCCATTCCCTGGAAGACTTTTTGGTTTACCCTTCACCCACCCCTCTCTGCCACCCCTATGAAAATACCAGTTTAGCTTCAAATTTCCTGCAAAAACATTTGCCTTAACTGACTCCTCTCTTCCCTGGAACTTCAGCACAATAGGGCCATTTATATGAGGAAAATAAGACGCATCTTATATCAGATGTGTCTTAAATAAGACATGAACTTTCCGTATAAACGGCTCATTTCGTCTACAATAAGACGCAACTTAGCTAAGACACGTCTTATTTTAGAACAGCCCTTAACACCTGTTCTTAGATAAGATGCGTCTTAGTTAAGATGAGAAAAACTTCATATAAATGACCTTCGCGTCTTACATAAGAAGCACACGCATAGTACACATGCCTTAATTTTTGGCGCGCCATGTTGGATTGCCGTTGCCATGGGCAACATTTACATGAAAATGAGTCAAGAACAGAAATAAGACGCGAAGCATTTATACGAACTGTTCTCATCTTAGATAAAACATGCTCGTATAAATGCTACAGTTCGTGTCTTATTTAAGACGAGCCTTATGTAAGAGGCGTCTTATTTTGCCTCATATAAATGGCCCTAAAATATGCATGGAATGTATTTTCCTTCTCTTCCTTTTTCTCGTTGTAAAATGGAAAGTAAAACAACCACTTAAGTTACTACTCACTTAAATGAAAGTTCTGTTTCTCTCCTTACTGTGGCATTTTTATCCTGCGCAGCAGAAAACCATTCCAACCATAACGCCTGCTTTTCTGCATCAGAGCCTTGGGAAAAGAAATAACTACAGTCGAACCTCCACTAATGGCGGACAGTGATATGATACTTATAGCGAATGTTGCAAACCTTGCTTATTTTCTCACGTTCAGACATTTTGATTCAAAAAAATTATTCAACGTATATATTACCAGTTGGTGCGTATGCACGCCTATCGGCAGAGTGCTCAATAGAAGGACTAGAGCATAGTATAATCAAGTTTGTCTGGTGTCAACGTGAGATCCAACTTGGCATTTTTATTAGTACTTAGTTTTGTACCACACGGCATGTACAGCACTCCTCAGATAAAATTATAAAAAACTTATTTAAAAAATTACAAAATTATATATTATATAATTATGATTACATTACCATTTATAGGATACAGTAAGCATGAACTTGGCATAACAAAGATGTTGTACTTCCTAAAAACAATTTTTCATATTACACCCCTACCTCCCCATAACAACAACCTCTCCACAACGGCCACTTTCTTCTGTCCCTAAGGTGGCCATTGTGGAGAGGTTCAACTGTATTAACCCTTTAAGCTCCAGTATCCACATACAAATTCTCCAAACTGATCTCCATACATTTCCTTAAAGAAGTGGTTGAGAGAATCTGATAAGAGATCAAGGTATTTCCTCTTGGGTGATCATTTTATTAATTCTCCTAACTTATCTCTTGACAGTGTTTGGATATTGTTAGAAGAAAATTGATCTTGGTCACTACTGGGAATTAAAGGGTTAATTATACCCCCTGGCAAGGGTTGAATTATGGTATGTAAAAATCACAATAAATTTCTTTCCTCCATTTTTGAAATAAAAATTGTAAAATATATATGTAAAAACAAATTTCTGTAAGAAAGTAATAAATTATTCAAAATACTGTTAAGTAGTGGTCCCCAAAATAAAAAAATTTTACCTTTAAACTTGTCAAGATTAGACCTGAGCTTTTTCTCTTTTTTCACTAGTTTCTTTCCTCGTTTACTAAGCAGTGAAATTTTCTCCTTCATAATCCTGATAGAGTTTTGTGTCTTATTCAATGCTTTGGAATCTTTGGTTCCATCAACTGCATCTAGTGACAATAATATATCAAAAATTAACAGTCATGGCGAAGTTTAGATCAGGCCTTCAGACAGGGTAGAAAATATTTGAGGTAAATTATTTAGAATTTTCAGGAGGGCATGTAATCAGACTAAAAAAGGATAAAAGACTCTGAAAACCTATTTAGTGGGCAAGTGCATGGCCACTCAATGAATGCTGGCTGCTTAATAGAGATTCTAATAACAGTGATAGACTGACAGTTTTTGTCTGCAAGGACTCTGCCAACTGAGAACTGAGAATAGAGAAAGGTCACTTGTTTTAATACTAGAACCTGCTTCAACCCTAAGAGCCCCAATATAAACATAAAGAGTATTCTCCTCACTGTTCTCCATATATTCCTTATTGTACTGCTTGAGAGAATTTGTTCAAACATTTGGACAATTTTCATCAGTGCAGATCATTTCATTCGTTCTCTTTACCTGTATATTTGATTTGGCAGTGATACTGTTAGGAGAAATTTGATGCTGATCACTATTGGGGCTTAAAGAAAGGGTTAAACCACTTTATTAACAAACCTGGTGTAAACTTAAACTGCTGCCGCACACCAGGTCCAATTCCCATGGCATGACGAATATCCTCTCCTAAACCAAAGCTAGCGTTCTCAATATCCTGGTAGTGCTGTGTGCAGTAGAACTTGTCATGGTCAGGGACAAAGCAGTAGTTGAAGTGGTTCAACCAAGAGCTACATATGGCACAAACAAAACAGCTCTTGTGGAAGACATGGTTTTCAACAGCTACACGCTCAAGGATTTCTACAGGCTTGCCACATTTTGGCTGGTCACACCGGTTTGTCCTGATTAGAGAAGCACTATTTGGAGGGCTAGACTATAAAAAGAAGGGAAAAAGTCCTTGAATAACCTTTGTGGTTGTTCAAAAAGAATTAGTGAAATCACTGTCAACTCTTTTCAGGAAAGCCTAACTGTACTTACAATATAATTTTTCAAGGTTTAAGAAATCAATTTTGAACTTGGCTTGAACATACACCATTTATAATGTGATTTCAAAGGAATAATTACACAGTTTGATTTATTTTTTCCAGAGAATCCATTAGGTCATAATATGAAAGAATAACATATATGTTATTCTTTCTTTTGTTCTATATTTAGGAACTGATATGGCTTACACTGTACCTCAATGTTAAGAGTTATTCCTTCTAAACTCAGCACACTTTTATTGTCTTCAGCAGCAACACTTGCCTTCAATTTAAACAAACCCAAATATATGAACTTTTGCACATAATTGACCATGTCTTCTTATTACCACATTATTATGTACCTTTTATAGTTTCAATTTTGGGGTTTGAATGTTACCTGGTTTGTCACTTCCTTACTTACATCAGCTTGTTTTTCCTTTTTCTTTTTAGAGGTCCTCACAAACTGTTTATAATGCCAGCGAAGCTCCTTCATAAGTTCCTCTTTTTCTTCTGTGGTTTTCAACAAATTTTCACTTAATTTACGACTGGTAACTAGAACAGGTGAGAAGAAGGTAATGAATGAATAAGATTGGGTTTCCATTCTTAACCAGGTCCTGTTACTAAGAACCATATAATATTATTTATAAATAAACACTTAATTAACTAATAAAAGATTTAGTGTTAGCAAGTCCACAAAGGCTAGTTCTTGAGAAGACTGCATGGATCACTACTTAGAGAAAAATGTCTTGGAGCAAGGCGAAAAACCAACAACAAGCTCAACCCACATAAATGTATAAGGTTGCCTGTGAGAGCTTAGCCTGTGCCAGGCTCTCAGATAGTATAGTGGGAACGTATTAAAACGAGCAAAGCGAAAATAAGACGCGTACGACTTGGGAAAGGGGGCGGTGGCAGCGGGAAAAAAGGGAGAGAGAGCCTGTTAGCATTTCTTTACCGACCCTCTTCCGCCCATTTTTGTCACGTCTGGATTCGGCTGTCAAAACTGTTAACACTTCAGTTAGCTACAATCATTCTCAAGTTTCTCGCGTGAGAATTGCACGCAATGCAAACTCCTTGTGCGACGTGTGGAAATTTATGTCTTCGAATTCGTTATCCTGTGAGAGCATCCGTTTTTTTTGGCTCTAGTTTATAGCAATAAAAGGGGGCGGTAAGTTTTTTCCTCTGTTGGGTAGGTCATGCTCTGGAAGGTTCTACATTGTCACTGAGCAAATTTGACTTTAGCCACTTGTTTCACACTGAGAGGTCATGGCACACATATCGATTTACTGTGGCAGTTGTTTCTGGTCGACAGGAATTGCCCTCTGATGAGAGAGCATTTTCTTTGACCTCTTTTGAAGCGTAAAGCTTTTTATTGCGGCTGAATAAGGGTTTTAATTTTCTCCAAAGTGCCTTCTGGATCTGACTAACTAAGTGATTTTCTTTAGTCCGTGAATTAATGTAATATTTTTCTGCAATGTTGTATCACGCTGGGCCCAGCTCGTTAGTTTTCTTTGCAGAATGTTAAATTATCACGGATAGTGATTACAGATCCAGAATTATAAGAATGAAGTGCAGCTTAAACTTAAGCTACATCAACTAAAGTAGAATTGCATTGTGACTCAGTAAGCTCTAGCTTAATAGTGTTTCTCTTAAAATAGTGTGAGTCTTTTGACTGGAGTGCGTAGTTTCTCCCTTGGTAACAGCGGAATAAGCTTAACAAATAACAGTCTTTGGACTGTTTTGTTATTGTCACTTTGTAATCAACCAGGACTCCGGATTACCGAAAACAATTTCGCACTTTCCTTCTCTCGCTTTCTTCTCATCCTCCTCTCCCTCTTCACCGATGCCAAATAGCTGCGGCCGAAAATCCAAGCTTCTTCAGTTGTTCCACTTGGTCTCGCATTATAGATATCAGCGGCGAAACGACTATTATCGTAGAGTTTTCTAGGGTTAGAGCAGCTTTAGCCAAGCGTGGGAATAGCTGAAAGATTAAAGTTTTGCTGAAACCGGTGGGCATAATACCGAAAACATCTTTACCGCGAGCCAAGTCGCAGAGACTTGTCTAAAGCACAAGAGAACGGGGATTCATGAAGATCACACGCGCGATTCGCGTTAGCCATCTTGGTGATGACAAACTGATGACCACGCTACTAGGTGATGATGTTAACTGTCACAATTGACCAATCAGAGGGTATATCAGGAGCTGATATACCGGAACAGGCCGTTAAAAAAATGCGTACAGGCTCCGCCGCCCTGTCTCTCCCCAGCCCCCGCGCGTTTTTCGCATTTCTTATTACTGAACGACTTTCCACCACGATCTCGGAGCCTGGAACAGGCTAGTGAGAGCTGAACTAAGGCCACATAACATATTTCACCACTGTGCCACCCTTGCAGTGGATAAAAAAGGATATTTGACCTTCAGTTTACATTTTTACAAGCCAAAATAACTTAAATACTAAACATTATCAAAAATGAGATCACACATAAAGTAAAAACCTTCCACTGGATCCATCTTAGTCATGGGCATAGCCAGCCCATAGACCGGTAGGCCTGGGTATACAAGATCACTCTACCACTTGTAATAAATTGTGCATTGTTGGGGTGAACTGAAGAGCTCATGAGCTCAATGTGATGGTAAGGTCAGTGTATGCTATAGTCATGAGCGCAATCAACAGAATTATAAACAAGCATTTTTCAGGATATGTGGAAATTTTAAAATTCCTACCGACTGTCAGCTAGGCCTACAACACAACAAATCAAAAAGCTGGCTATGCCCCTGCTAGTCTTGCTTAACAGACGTTGGCCACTTGATGTAGTTTTGCTTTCAAAAAATTTCAGGACTTACTAAGGGGCAAGTCTGCTGACTACAGGGTTTCCTGTAAACACCGTTGACCATTTTGAGATGTTTTTTGAGTCTGAATCAGCTAACTTTCATTTAATCCCTTTGCCAAGCTGCTCACAATCTCATTATCACTAAGAAAGGGGAACCTATCCAAAAGACTGTTTCAGACTGAAGTACCAATAAGAGTAACTGTATGTTTCTGATTTTCAGTACCTGGAGTTGATGGCAAGGATCTTGCAAAGTTAGGAATTTCTTCTTCGTTTACAACCTCCTGTTTATTTTCAGACAAGTTCACATTTTGCCGGTGAGTAACTGGTTCCACATTCTCTTTCTCAGCTTCTACTTGCTGCTGCCTTTCAAACTCCATGGTATCTAGGCCTGTCAATGACCTTGATCTTCTGTGAACATGTTTGATAAATTGTGCCTGTACCTCGGGTGGTAGCTCGTGATGTCTATTGGCTGTTTCAGGGTCTGTTCTGCCATGCAAGGCCAGCTCCTCTGGAGGGATATTCGGGAGCTTCTTTCTTGATCTTCGATTAGAGTCAACAAAAGCAGTCATAACTGCAAGGATTTCAAGACGCAGGTTTTTCTAATTTGATGACCTGAATATGAAAGGAAATAGTACAGGTTTAGTAATACTGGAGTGGGCAAGAGCAGCTAACAAAATTGATGGATAAAAATATTACGGTTATGGCTGTTCATCATGGTGGATACAATTATAAAGAGATTTTATGAGACTACATCACAAGGCCAAAGATAATACTGTTCTTAGCATTAATTAAAATATTAATGTGCTTTTTCCTTTATATGTAATAACTAGGGGCATTGTGGACTTATCAGTATTGCAAAACAAAACAATAAAAAAGTACTGTAAGCACTGGGATGCAGATGCAGATTCAGGTGCAGTTTTTTAAGGTTAACAATATGAGAAATTGGAGAAACCACTGCTCGCAGGGTATGCCAACTAATAACCTTTCTTATGAATCCTGTAACTAAATATTATAATGAGCCATATACTATGAAAGTAATTTAATATAAAATCTTAGTGTAGCTGAACACATTTTATTGTATTCAGTAGTTTTCCAATAACTCAGTTGTCATGTTTGTCAAAAAGCTGCAGCTGCCCTTAAATGAAAATGACTCACTTCAAATCCCTACCAGCCAGTTAACATCACTGGTAGTGACCAAAAAAACTACTCAAATTTGTCGATATTTATTGATAAAGAAAACTATGAACATGGAAAAAAAAATTGTACAAATCAACAATTAATTCAACTTGATTTTATTGCTGATTTTTACTTCCTTAAGTGTTATGAAACCTTTGCTCATACATTTATAAGGATTAGAAAATTAATTTGATTGAAACATTAGGGTCAGCTTAAGCAATGATGACAACAGTGGCTAAAACCCCTCTTAGAAATAATATTCATCACTTGTATTCCATCTTGTTCAATGTTTCAAATGCTTATTAGATTTTTTGGAGTTAAATTCTAAGGAAATTAAGTTTAACTTGTAGTCACAATCGACTTGTAATGTTAGTGCAATAATAATTATTGCTCCATCATATATTGTTAATTCAAATCATAGTAATCATAGTATTACTTGCAACTGAAGATGATCATAGATCGATCCAAACATGTCTTGCTTTAAATTGAAAGTCATGGTTCATTGTTTAAGAATTCTAAAGGACTGTATCTAATTTTCCAAAGAATTAGAAAATTGTTATCTTGTGTTCCATCCACCAGAATAGTACAAGAAATTAGGAAGTTTCACGTCGTGGTTGTGCAATGACAGTAAAGAAATGTACGAAAAAGCATGAGGCGCATGCAAAGTTTATTTTTTTTGCTAATAAAAGCCTATTTGCTTTTTACCATTCTTTTTGCCATCTTCATCGTTGCTTATGCTCACTTAAAGATGTTCAAACCCTTGGAATAAATTATTTGGTATTCTCCACATTCAGCTTTGGGCAAAGTCCTAAACTATGGCTTTTGAAATAAAATCTATTGAGAATTTCTTCCCTGGGTGCTGTGTAATAAATGAAACATTAATAAAATAATTTTTATCACCTGTATTGAGCTTGGATCTACTTGGGTAGGGCTATTTTGCTATGAAACAATAAAACTATCATTTTGAAAAGTAGATATTTGCCAGCCTTACAGGTTTTCGCCACAGATTACGTTTTTAATGTGGACCTACTCATAACCTCAAAGTAAAAATTAAGATGACACATTTAATTGACAGCTAAAATCTCTTTAGTACGAATAATGTAAGCTTATAACCTTACTTACCATCTAACATGCACAAATTAATTTAAAAGGAATAGAGACGATTCACGGCTGCTGAAAGACCACGAATTAACCAAACACGTAATCCATTTTTCAGTGATAAAATTAGCCTGCTGTATGAGACAAGACGTCTTTCAAAAATTTCTATCCACACTCGTACTAGACAACTCCTGTGAAACGTGTTGTATATTTTCTTAGGAAAAAATAAACAGCATTTTTGAACAACGTAAGCATCACACACTAGTTCTATTGATATCCATTTTACATCGCTAGTACCTCCCGGATGCCAGCCCTTGAATAAATGAGCTATAGCAGCCGTCATCAGTAAACAACAGAGATGACATTCTTCCTTCGAACAACCATCTCTCGTGGAAACGACCAGCCCGCTTCCATTGGTGACGACGCGAGCATCGCGAGACTTCTTCCAGCTTTCGAAGGTCCGCTTGAAGATCGATGAAAGCAGTCTCTCGTGCACACTTGGAATAACTGACCGCAAGAAGGCTGCATAACTAACTGTTCCGAGGTTTTTCATGTTAATACAAACGATGAATAAAGTTCACTGCACAACACGGAGGTCTCTGTCGATATCTGTCAGGCGTTTCAGGCGCAAATCCGCTTAAAATATCTTCATGTAACGTGTAACTATGTGTCACTCAACATAACTATGCATCACTACCCATCAGCACCTATCTATTATCGCTTGGAAGAATACCTAAAGATAGTTAGAAATCCAGCTCATAGAATCAGTATGACTAAACTGCGATTGGGAGTTCATACTTTACGTATGCAAACAGGGAAATATGAAAATAAAGGAGCTTCTATACCAGTAGAGGAAAGGCTTTGTTTGGTTTGCAAAAGAAACTGCATAGAAGACGAGAACACTTCTTAATCGATTGTACTGAATACGAGAGTCTTAGACAGCAACTTTATTTTCATATTTCTGAAAATGATGCAACCTTCATCAATTTAACAGATCATGATAGAACGTTATATTTACTCAGACTGGACAATGACAAAACTTCACATATTATAGCCAAATATGCCCACGTAATGTTTAAAAAACACAAACAGTTCCTGAGTGAAAAATCCACTTGATGAGGTAATTAAATTATACTATAATTATTATCGAAAAAGTATATGCCAAATAATTTCGTTGTTTCCGTTCATATTTCTTTCTTTTTAAATTTGTTGTAGTTGAAAAAACCTTTATTGTAACTAGACCGATGCCTCCCCTTGGAGAGTAAGGCGCAATAAAGATATACTATACTATACTATACTACACATCAATACACATCACTATCCATCACTATCCATCATTACACATTTCCTACCCAACACTATCCATCAGTACACATCACTGTACATCACTACCCATCACTTATACCCATCACTACACATCACTACTCATCACTACACATCATTACACATCACTACCCATCACTACCCATCACTTGCAGCCTCCGCGTAGCTCCGATTCTAGGTCTGCTCTAAATTTTCTAGAAATTTGTTTATTATGTGCTGTGATTCATTATTTTAAAAATTCAGGAAAGCAATAAGGTGTGGATGATGTTCAAGCAATGTATATAAAAGTTATTGATAGTTTAATGGAGATCGGCATTACTCTTCCACTGAAAGAAGAAAAGAAAAAGGACTTTAAGAAAAGAAGAAGGACTTTAAATGTCCTCTATAATGAGATAATTAAGCTTAAAAAAGATTTCGATGACTAATCGTAGAGTATGCCTTACGGACCAAGTGAGTATCTAATGCAAACTTCGTGTGTACTGGCTAAGGCACTGGTACTGGCGGAGCACTTAGTCCCCGGGGCTCTCCCCCCTCGGGCGGAGCACTTAGTCCCCGGGGCTCTCCCCCCTCGGGCGGAGCACTTAGTCCCCGGGGCTCTCCCCCCTCGGGCGGAGCACTTAGTCCCCGGGGCTCTCCCCCCTCGGGCGGAGCACTTAGTCCCCGGGGCTC